AATATATATATAAAGTTTATATTTTTATATATAAAACATAAACTTAAATTACTCATTCGATACAGTAGGTTTTAATTTTTGGTTAGTGCATGTGTGTTCCTTCTGGACAGGAAGGTACTGGTCCCCTCTCCAGGTATTCCAGTGAATATTAAACTTTGTTATTGTCATCTTGATAGCTGGAGCAGAGGGATTCAGGAGGCTCTGTTCGTGCTGATCAGCCTTGAAAGTAATCTCTGTCTTAGTGGGGTTTTTTGTTCCAACAATTGAAATGAATATCTGCTTCTGATGGGTGCTGAAATCTGCTGTTTGTTTGTCAAGCACTTCAGCAGCTCAGATCAGAGATTCAATTGTTATTTCCCAACACGATGGTAATTGGGCTGACAGAGGGATGGGTTTGGTATCAGATGGAGGGACAAGCTTTGTGTCCCTTTACACTTAATTTTGGCTGTCAGTAGGTACAGAGCAAGTTGACTTCTTGGTGCTGTTTCACTGTCACTTCGGAGGTGCAGCAGATTTTGTTCACATTTTAGGCGTTTGATGTATGGAACTAGTCCAAGCTGTAATTGCTGCAGAATTATTTTTTTTTAAATTACATATTACATAGTAATAATCATGTCCTGCCTCTAGCTATTTGCACCCTTAAAAAAAAGAACCAGAAAACACACAAAAATCCTGGCAGTGAAGCTTGGCAAAACTCTTTGTATCCGTAGAGGTCTTGCCTTTGGCACATGAGGTGTTGAAACAAGCTGTCTTATGTACTAATTATTCTCAGAGATAACGATGACATCTTCTGGCAATTGGACTAAGAAAAATATTTGTGAAGCAAGGGCTGGTCTACCACCTCTTATTTTGCTTTCCTAAAATTTGATGTTACCTGCAGAGGCAGACTTGAAGGTTTTCATGTAAATTTCTGCCCATTTGATGCTAATTATTGTGCATCGTCTATGACACTGCTGATGTCCTCGGAGTGATTGCTGCTCCTTCCTTATCCCCCCTGCCTGACATGCCATTAGTGTACCAGAAGGCTTTCTGCTCTCAGCTGCAGCGGGGAAGATGGCCAGTGCTTCATGAAATATGATGGGAGCGAAGGAAAGCAGAGAATAGAATTGGGAATGTGAATTAGAAATCAGGGAGAGGATCCTTCTGGCAGACCGTGTTCAAGCCACTGTCAACATAATGCTTGGGCTGCTCAGAAGCAGAATAACCTTTTGAAATGCCAGCTACTTAGATCAATTCTGTGTAGGAGAAAAATAAGTAACTCGGCTTTCTTTCTGTCGATTACTGTCTTTTTGGTAATGAAAAATGCTCTGAGGAACCGCTAGTAACAGCGTATTAGTTACAGCAGGAGAACCTCAATGCTGCAGGATCGCGTGGGCTACTTCAGAGAAGTGGGTTCACTGCAGGGGATGCTTATGCCAACAAATTGGGCCGGAACGGAACAAAGGAAAGAATGTGTCACTTAGAAAAGCATCCAAGTGTCTTCTGGGTCTTTTAAAGCTTTAACTTTTATATAAATTGTGTTTAGTTTGTGTGCAATTGCCAAGTGATTATGGAATTGCATTAACTGAGTAAACTAAGCACAAGGATGCGTTATTCAGCAGTTATCAATACTTGGGAGGATTAAGCTGAATTGAATTGTCTTTAAGTTGATCCATCAATCTTCCCTGGAGCATTTGGGAAAAAATACTCAGTCTTGGAGGTGATTACTGATTAATTCTCTTCATCAGGGAGCTCAGGAATGATACGTGGTAGTGCTGAGAAGGAAGATGGGTAAATCTGCATTTATAGTAATGGCAAACGGAAAGCAATTGGCCTTGGTTGTGTAAACAGCACAATGTAATAATCTGCAGCTAAACCCTCGTTTTAAAAATAGTTGTGTGTCAAAATGATTTGTCGTTTGTGCAGCAATAGAGAAAAGTATCTTCTAGAATTCAAGTTTTCTTCACCCCCCTCTTTGTAAATAACATTTCCAATAACCCTGGAAATAAGAGACTTAAGCAGAAAATGAAATGGTAGAAAGAATAATAATAATAATAATATTAAAAAAATGCTGTCTTACGGGGTCATTTATCATTGTAACAGTAGTGCAGACTATTACCGAGGGGAGGAGGGAAAACGCCACGGCTAGTCTGTGCCTGTAGCAGCAAAGCTTTATTTTATGACACTGTATTGGTTTACCTTGATGTGCTTTCATTTTAGAAAGGGGGCATCAGAAAGGGTGTTTTAATCTCCTTGTGTTTCTGTGAAAATTATGGATGACCTCTCTGTCTATATACAGCGAAGATCTTTGACTTGCTGTTCCACAGGAGGAAATTTTTAGGCTGAAAATGTTTGTCTGGACTTTGTAAGATGGATAAGAACATGGTTATAACACCAGAGAATGCAAGAAGTATGTGTGGTTTTAAGGGGAAAATGACTATATGTCTCTCTCTCTCTTTAAATTTTTTTTCTTTTTTTTTTTAATGAAGCTATATCTCTAGCTAATTTTGGCAGGTCTGGGAGAGAAACCATATAGGAAACATTTGGTCCTCGCATCATGATGGATTATTAGCTTCCTAACTCATTGGAGATAGTAAGAAGCAATTATTTGCTTTACAAATTGCAGAAAAGGTCTGCTCTGATATTTAAAGCTGTAGCAAAAACTACAGCATAGTGAAAAGGAGTAACTAAAATCTGGTAAAATCTTACTTTAAAACTTATATCTGTCAATAGAATTGTTTAGAAATATTTCCAATGATTTTGCCATTGACTTGAAAGAGATTAGTTTTCTCTGTATTAATCCTCTTCTGTCCTTTTGGAATAGCGCTACAATAGCTGATCGCTCCCTGCGTGTAGGTTGGTCATGTCTTACGTATGTTACTGTGTCTTTTGACTGTTTGGAGCGATTGTTTCACAACAGAATAAAAACTCTTAACTGCATGGTGGCCTGAAAAATTCAGATGCACAGAAGTAGTGCAATCCTTCGGTTAGAGCGAGTCGAACCAGTTAAGTTCTCACTTTCACTCCGGAGCCTACTGTGAGCTCACTTGTGGTGGCTGGTAAAGTGGAGAGACTTTGTTTTTATGGATGTACGAGGCTTATAGTTCCCACTTTACACCTGGAGCATGCTTGAAAAGTTAAGGCAGAACGGACATCCGCGAGGCTTTGGCTCTGTGCTCAGGCAGGATTTAGTGGTGCATCGGGAGTGTGCAGTGCTTCCTCATCCCGATCCTCACCAACTTAACGTACGCTGTCTGGCTGGACACGTTACCTGTGCTGAGTGAAAGGGAAGGCTGTGGCTTGCGGCCTCATGTATTTCCTCCAGGTTTGAAAAGCAGGCATCCGTTCTGCTCAGCGTCGGTGTGCGCTCTGCAGCTCGCGCCGGTTTCAGCTTTCCTTACAGCCCGCTCTGGAGCAGCTCCACGGGCCCTGCAGATAGAGCCCTCGCTTTTTTTATGCCGGGAACCAGATGGCTTAAGAAGTTTGAACTAATGTCACTACTCTGATGCCAGAAACACAAATTCAGCTTCTGCTGTGCCAGCACCTCTGATTTATTTGGGCTTTACCTGATACAGTGTTTCTTTTCCTGGAACACTAAATGCCCAAAATAAATCCTGGTATATCTTACTCACGCAAGTTTGACAGTCTCAGCTGTCTTATTTTCACAGTTATTTTCATAGTTACCTCTTTATTATAGACCTACATGTTGAAATTATTTATGGATACCTGTCAATGTAAAGTGTGTGTGATTTATGTCTGTTCCTTTACATTGTCCTACCAACCATTTTTTTCACCTATTGATGAAAACCTATGTGAAAAGCAGTCGGCTCTTGGCAGGCAACAGTCTGTTAATGCTTCCTACAGCATCTTGCTCTCTTCAGTCAATAAGTTTGCTCTTCCTAAAACACTTAGTTACTGCTTACTGGAAGATTAAATTGAACTGTTGTATCATCGCCCAGTGACTGTCCAGCTCTATCACTTAACATACCGAACATGGTGAAAACACGTACCTAACAATGCGTGCTGGTGGGTTTCCCACTTTTGGTTCGCATGCTATGGTTACATGATTGAATGAATATTTGGTGAGGTTTGCAAATTCTTTTCCTCCTACAACAGAGCGCAAGGTGTTGAAACGATTTGCGGTCTTCAATATGAAATGTGGTGTTTGCTTTGTACTATTGCTATTTGCCTACTAAGTATAAGTTGTTGGGGATTTCTTTTTCTTTTTAAAGGTACATTTGACCACAATTTATACGATAGTAAAAGGAATTCGTCTTACCAGTAGGGCAGCTCAGGTATAACTAGAAAGACAGCTTGGTACAGCTGTAGAAAGTGGGATCTGAGCGTTCGATTTATGTGTGTTGTAGACCACGCTCCTTTACGGGCTGTTTCTTGCTGTTAATTTACCCAGCAGACCTGTTTGGTGCAGTTTCAGCCTGTTATGGATGTACTTCTATGAATTTCCATAAGTTTGATGATTCCACACTTAACCTCTCGATTCATTCACGCGGGATGCTCTTACGCCTCATACCGTTACATCTCTCGCTAGCCTTTTAGGTTGAGATTTCCCTGCACTGAAGCCCAAAAGAGCTAAGGACAGAAAGCTCTAACCATCCATCTGGCTGCTGACTGGTGATAAGGGCAGTTCATTTGGGCTTTTGTGACTATTTTCCCCAAGACTTAAATGTTTGACTACCCCTAATTTGGTATGGAACTTTAGGAAATAGAGATGTCTTTATCTTCTTTATGAGCATTGCAAAACTTTTAAATCAATAAGTGATGGAGCAAATGAGGATTACGTGTGAATGACTGAGGGGCATATTTGCCTTAAATAAGTGTGTAACACAGTGCTCATAAAAAATGGTTGATTATTCACCTGTGATGTGTTTTTATTCTGAGAATCAATAATCTTATTTTGAAAACATGGGGAAAAAATTGAGGTGAGCTGGGGGCCTTTCTTTAGAAATTTGTGTTTTATTTAACCAATTTTGGTTGAAAATATTGCGTGAGCCTTCCGGAACTTTCTAAAGCGACAATTTAAATGTGTAGCAGATGGTCTCTGCTCAGGAGCAATTAAAACTGAATTACTGACTCCTGAACTGTGGATGACTTAATATGTACGCTTTATTCAACATGCATATCATGTGCTTTAAGAAAAAAAAAAAAGTTTAGGTGAGAATTCATCAGTATGCTCCATAACTCAGCTATAACTAACGAATGAAACTCATAATTCGCTGAGAAAAATAAGATTTGTTCATATGTGCGCCTGTCCTTGTTTACAACTTCTCAGATTTATCCATTTCACTTCTGCTTGAAGAAGAAAATTATAATTCCGTAGGATTTGTTTTACAACTCTGCAGTGCATGGAGGAAAAGAAAATTCTGGTGGGAGGTTATGAAGTGTGTGTGTAGCTACGCATAGAGCTCTATATGTATAATTATATACAACATTATTACTATTTAGCGAGGATAGATGTAATTTCTGAGTTTATTATTTTAAGAAGCAAGGGTTTGGCGGGGTTGGCAGATGGTGTGATGTTTGCTTATTTTTCTATAACATGCTTGAACCTTTCAGCAACTGGGAAAGGAAGTTGAAATTGTCTTCTAAAATTGTCTTTCTTAGGTTGGAACAAGATATTAAAAAGTTAAAGGCTGACCTGCAAGCAAGCAGGCAGATCGAACAGGAGCTACGTAGTCAGATCAGTTCTCTGACTAACACAGAGCGGGGAATTCGATCTGAAATCGGACAGCTCCGGCAAGAAAATGAACTGCTTCAGAACAAGTATGTGGTTTTGCACAGCTGTGTGAATTAGTTGCTGATGCCTGTAGTCTGGTGAAGGGGGTTTATTACGTTGAGTCTCTACAAAATTTGAGGCACTTGTCTGCAAATCCAGCAAGACTCATTTGGGACCATTGACAGCAATTTCTGTTTAGTAAATAGAATCCTCTGTTAAATCCCATACCTGTTACCTTCCAGATTACACAATGCTGTACAAATGAAACAAAAAGATAAACAAATGATCAGCCAGTTGGAGAAGAAACTAAAGGCAGAGCAGGAGGCACGAGCCTTTGTAGAAAAACAATTAATGGAAGAAAAGAAAAGAAAGAAGTTGGAAGAAGCAACTGCTGCACGTGTCGCATTTGCTGCTGCTACAAGGTACTTGCTCTACCCCAGAAGCAAGCTCGGCTCCAGAAAATTACTGGAATGTAGCTGTTGCTACTGAAATGTGTTTTGGAGGGATTTGGGGAGGCATTAGCTGGGAACAGCCTGAGCCTTGGTCATCGGGTGGTGAGCAGTATCACTGAGTATCACTGATTTGTATATTTGTGTGTACTATTATTTTCAATATTATTGTAGTTTAGTTATTAAATTGTTCTTATCTCAACCCATGAGTCTTTTTTTCCCTTTACCCCTTTAATTCTCTACCCCATTCCCGGGAGGGCGGAGGGTGAGTGAACGGGTGCGTGGGGTTGGCTCCCAGCCAAGGTTAAACCCATCACAGTATTGTTGCCATAAGGGAAATTGTCTCGCTAAAAAGAACAGAGTTAGCTTCCTTTTTTCATCCTTCAATATTTATATTAATTTTCATGTTAGTTCAGGATTGACAGCCTCATTCTTATTTCACCACCTTCTCTTTTAATGTTTTTTCTGCAGAGGAGAATGTACCGAAACTTTACGAAATCGTATCCGAGAGCTGGAGACAGAGTGCAAGAAGCTAACAATTGACATAAAGCTGAAAGAAGATCAGATACGAGACCTAGAAATGAAAGTTCAGGTAACGATAACACACCATAAAGATCATCATCACAATGAGTGCTTTCAGCCCTCTGAAATTGGTGGATCTATAGAAGAGGCAATCAACACCTTCAAGAATTATGCTCTTCAGATGTCTGTCTTGCATGTTGTACATCAGGCTTTGTAAGAATGTGGCTGTGAGAAAGGTTAATCATCTCAGTTCCACACCGTTCAATTGTTTAAATTATTAGAATTTTTTTTTTCCCCAGAACTGATCATCTGGGCAGACTGAGAATATAATCCTTTCAACAACATTTTTTTGTCTAATGTGAAGAGCTTGTTGCCAGTCCTATCGTTATAAATGTCACTGCTAACAAATAAGATTGCTTACTCAATACAGTCTTAATCACTGGCCAGACACATTTCTTTTTTCTGTGAAAGTGCTTGAATGTTGGAAGCACATTGTGGTAGACTTGTAGCAGACACGCTGTCTGGCATCTTGGAGTTTAAGAGCTCAAATGTGTGAGTTGAAGTTGACCTTTTTCCTTTACAATGTCTGTTCCTGAAGATGCACTCGGACTGTCAACTGACAATTTGCATGAGTATGTATTTTGAATGCCTTGTTGTTTTTTAGACACTCTTCAAAATCCACCTGGTGTTATTGTGAACTTGTTTCCAAATAACATATGCAGCCTTGTTGTGTCTGGGTTTACCAAACCCTTGAAAACAAGTGTGGTTTATCCATGGAGAATAGGAGCATGGCTTCCAAATAATTAAAACCAGCTACAGTGAAGCTTTTTAATTTTATTACCACCTTCAAACTGTCAGGGAAGCTTTTTGTTACAGGCATTAATATTTTCCCCTGTTGTATTACTGTTACTTCATTTCAAAGTATAGAATTTTTGTGCATTAGCATTTTGACTAAGAACATACTTCCCAACCCCAAGGTGACTTTCTTACTTGCTCCCTCCTTTTCTCTTTTCTAAATTTCTGGGTTTACAGCACAGTTAGGTTCAACGTGGGAAGTACTCCGAGATAAAGAAAATCCCTCTCCTCAACCAGCTGAAATAGCTTAAAATGCTTATTTAGTATCTCTCTAAAGTGTCTAGCAAGAGATCAGTCCCCCTTCTAGCCATTTGGCTCGTGGGAAGTGTTTTCGCGTTCCGCAGCGTGGCCAGGAGTGCTGTGCTGCTGCTTAGCCAGCGCTTGGAAGTGCTGAGGAGGATTTCTGGGTGGAGGGTCTCGATGCGGATGATAGAAGGCTGAGAAGCAGAATAAATGATACTTGCTCACTGTGCTGTGATTAGGCATTATACAATATGGCTTTAATCACTTGTATGATGGTCATGTATAATTAGGGGAGGTAATATTACGGTGTCCTTAATTAACCATCATTTTAATTTTACAGTATTAATACCGAGCCCAGTGGTGTGCTGTGGGGAAGAAAAAGACTTCTCAGTGTATCTCATGTGTAAAGTCGATGAGAATAACATTTATCCTAATTATTCCTACAGGAACTGCGGAAGTACAAGGAAAACGAGAAGGATACGGAGGTGTTAATGTCAGCACTTTCAGCCATGCAGGATAAAACGCAGCACTTAGAGAACAGCCTGAGCGCAGAGACGAGAATCAAGCTGGATCTGTTCTCTGCGTTAGGAGATGCAAAACGGCAGCTTGAGATTGCCCAAGGTAACACGAGATAGTTTAATCCAACATGTAGTACTGACTGAAATTGTGAAAATGTGACAGAAAGAACGTCCTACCTTTTTATTGAGGGGTGGGCTATGGCCCCCACCCAGCATTTCAGCTTTCAGTGGGTTTTTGTCATTTACAGCTTTGTGAATGTGAGCCTAAGCAACCCAGCCAAATTAGCTGACCTGATTTCCCCAAACTAGTGAGCTGAAGGCAATAAATGTAAAGATGGGCATTTAAATTAATTTATGATGATTTTCCACATTTTTATAAACCATTACCTTAAAGCTAGAGAACTTAGACCTAGAAGATAAAATAAGATTTTCCATCTATTAAGCCCCCGTCCTTGAATCCCAATAATATTTTGATACTCCTGAAGTAAATATAACCTAAATATGGGGACAGAAAAAATCCCAAACTGTGTTAAACCTCCCACTGGTGAGGTCAACGTGGACGCTGGTGTCCAACTGGGCTGGAGTTGCAGCCACCAGAGGGAGCATGACGCCATCATAAAACCCTGCCCAGGCTGTCCTTTGTTCCACTGTGCAAACCATGAAGCAAAATGAAATAAACTTTTGATTTAGTACCTGTTTAATTTCCTTGCAGAAATTTGCTTGGTTGCAGGAAAATCTGATTAGAGTGAGAAATTCTTCTGTTTCATTTCATTGATGTTTCTCTTTAGTTTCGTAAATTGCTGTAGTGACGATGTGAGTGCACACAAACGGGGTTTAGAAAAATGGTGAGAATAAGGACAGCTGTGAAAATAAAGTAAATAACGCATTTAATAAGCAAACACTTGTGCTCCTGTGAGGTGCTGGTAAAATGGGAAGGGAAAAGTGCAGAAAAAAGTTGAGCCATAGAAATAATCTTTTGCAGCTGTGAATCCAAACAGTGCAAAATCTCGTGGAAGTGTGATGTCTAGCTGTGTTACGTGGTAACCAGAGATAATTAAACATCATTCCTCAATGCAAGTCAGGAGTTACACGACTTGTGCTTTTCCTGATGTCGTGTTGGAGCGCTGAATGTCTTCTGGGGGTTTTGCTTCAACAGCTCTTACCGTTGAACAGTTGGTGGAGGGTGAAAACATGCTGATGATTCTAAGTGATGTTATTTGCTGTTTTCAGGGCAAATCATTCAAAAAGATCAGGAAATCAAGGACCTAAAACAGAAGATTGCAGAAGTTATGGCAGTAATGCCCAGCATAACATACACTGCAGCCACCAGCACTCTGAGTCCCGTTTCCCCACATTACTCTTCCAAATTTGTGGAGACCAGCCCTTCTGGACTTGATCCCAATGCCTCTGTTTATCAGCCCTTGAAGAAATGAATGCCAATTTTCTTTTTGCCCAGTAATTTTGTCATGCTGAAGGCATCACACGGGAGTGTCTCTTGCAGTCAAGATGAAATTGTATTGTGTGAGACCTGTATTTGTTGTCATTTAAAACAGGATAAAAGAACATCTGGATTGACTAGAACTGCCCATCAGTTTTTCTTGTAAATTTTTAGAAAACCTCACAGAACTTTGCAATTTATTTTCCTTGGCCAAACAATTCTTGGTTTTCAAGTAGCCAATTTTGCCTTTTTATGTACTCTTGCATGGTTTCCTCTTGAAAAATACAGGACTTTGCTTGATTTTGAACCCTTTCTTTAATTTTTTTTTTTAATTATCAAGTTGAATTTGCAGATTCGTTCAGAAACAGTGAGGAAAAACCTTTCGTTTTTACAGTGAAAGGGTTAAATAATCTAACAAAGCTTTGGTTTATAGATGTATTAAATACAAATATGTGATGTCGCAGAAGATAATTTGATTACCCCCTCAAAGGACCAAACAAATTTCAGGGGCGTTATTTAAGGGAAAGAATAAGAGAATAGATGATGATGTGACGGTGGTTGTCGTGTGAAATATTTATATTCCCATTGGTGTTTTTAGTCATTGAGAATTGCTAACAGTCTTGTTCACAGTGCCTTGGGAAAAGACATTTCAAGAGGAAACTTGATAGTTTAAACTATTTTTTCCCCCTTCACTGTCATCTAGCTTATATATCAAGCTCATTACAGAGTCTACTGCAGATTGTACATGGTAATTTGGATGTTCATTATAAACCGAGGTTACATCTTCTGTTTATTTTTATATAAACTCAGCAGTGTTCTGTAACTTGCCTTGATTATACTGCATCGTGGAAGGCACAATATTAAACAGGAAGCGTTATTGTGAAGGCGGAACTGTGCAATGTACTGTATACAAGAGACTGTAAAGCTGGCTAATAAAAGCTGCAGTTCTGGGTTTTTTTTATTCAACTGTGATTTACAGTTTATATCACCTTGTGTTTGACAATTTCAATGGGGCTGAATGTTTTTCAGCTGTTGTGCCAAGGAGTTTTTAAGGAGTTTTAAAGGAAACTCAAAAATTGCACAAAAGTTTAAGTTAAAATGTATATTATACATTGATAGAAAGTGTTTGCACTGGCAACTTCTGAAGCGTTTCAGATTTTTTTTGAGGGTGGGGATTGGAGAGGTGGGAAGCAAAATTGTATTAGAAACTAGCAGAATTATAAACCCAACCTTATGATTTTGCAAACATGCAGTGGACTCTGGAAGGACAAAGTTCTTCTTAAAAGAAAAGAATTTTTTAAAAAAAGTTTAATGCTAATTGGCATGTATGCCTCATAAAAAAAAAATTAAGAAAGGCACAGGTCAATAGAAGTATTAAAGTTTCATCATTTTAATCACAGATATTCTTTTGGGATAAAACCTCTAGCTTTAGCCAGGTGTGCATGTTGCCGTCATTTGCATTTTTGAATCATCTTGTGTAATTGTCACCATGAAAGTGTTACTCAGAAATGTCATAGGTTTTTCATCTTTGTGCAAAACATGAAATATTGTCACTGACTTTTTGTGTTGAGGTTCCCCCATTTTGCTGCCTACTTTGGCACAATTTTCGTTCAATACTTGGTCTTGGCTGCATTCTTTTTTTCTGTGGGGTTTACAAAGAATAAACATTTTCTTGCAGATAAAAAAAATAATTTTTTTTTGCCTTTTTAACTGACCTGATTTAGCCTGGTATAAATAATGCATTTTGTTTAAAGAGCACTCTGTTACTCCAGGTAAGTCTTCTCTTTTGCAACAGAGCTTCACTTCTGTGAAACAGAAGAAGGAATGGATATTTTTTTTTTTGTATTTGATATATAAACTTAGAAAGTTGAGGGCTCTGAAAAAAAAAAACCGTAAATTTCTTGAGAATTGCAAAAGTATATCTAAGTTTAGCCTTTGTTCCTTTGCAGCCATTCTCCTTGCTGCAAAAGCAAAGCCAGGATGGATGATTTGGATGTTTAAGCGTTGTCATTGTCTAGGCAAAAAGAAAGAACTTGTCCCAGGTTTTCAGTATATCGCTTGATTCTCTCAGCAGCCACCGTTCCTGTTGTAAAATCTTCTTATTGGGAATCCTGCAGCTGCATTCGGGGTAAATGAGCTGGTTTGTGTATGCCGTAGCTGGTCCTGACGTGGATGTTCTTCTCTGACTGCATCTACTCCAGCTTCTTCAATCCTCAGCAGCTAAACCTCAAGGTAAAGTTCTTCAGGTACCGAGAATTCCACCTTCAGCTATTCTGTGATTCTGCTGCAAGCACTGCCAGAACCTCCCAGTCCCCTGAGGACACTTTTTTTTTTTTAACTTTTCAAACCACACGAGTCTGACATACACATAGACCATTTCCCACTCTAAAAGGAAGAATTCAAAATACATTACAGATAAATTTGCAATTTTAGCAGATCACATTGCCGTGCAGAAGTCGCGTTCTCTGTTACCCTCCTCGGTTCAGATGGATTTGTTCCTTTAGGAAAGGTGAGGCACCAGGCTGCTGGGAAGGGTAAGTGGAGTGAGTGGAAGGAGATCATTTAAGCGCTCAGATCTTACACCAGCCAGCCTCGGGATCTTTAAATATTTAAATGTCTGAAATGGAAAATATCTTAATGACTCATCATAAATTGTACTTGCAAGATTAATATATGGGGAATTTAAGAATGTAGGACTGCAGAAGTGTCATGTAGGATATCTTGGTTTTTCTACAGTCAATTTTGAAATATTACTGTGGAATAAATACTCTGCCAAAGAAAAACTGAAGTGTCCAGAAATTTTGCCAGCCAGCATAAGTCTAGGAAGAAAAGGTAATGGAAAGACAGGGCTTATATGTAATGGTTTTGAGCACCTCAGGGTTTATCCTCACTAAAATTTTAAGTAGAGTGGAAAGCAGTATGTAATTTTATTTTTAATATTTAATGAAAAGCTCCTTTATTCATAGAATCTGCTCTGTAACTGTGCTAAGATGAACTAGCTCCCCTTTCTTAGCATGTTTCATAGTCATGGGGAAGGAAGGGCTTAAATGACCTTATCTTTGCTTCATGAAATAACTTCTAGAAAGTAAAAATCGCTGCTTTGACCGAAACGTCCTCTATGGCCAGCTGGAAATGAAGCTGGAGCTACCAACTTCAGTGCAGGAAAGCGGGTGAACTTCCACCTCCCTTCGGGTAGCTCTTTCCTTTACAGTGTGTAAGCAGAACAAACTTGTGGTTTGTTTTTCCTTTTTCTTCCTTGGTTGTTAAATCAGGTTTGGAAGTTGCTGGCTTACCCTAGCACTGCCGTAAGCACACTGGAACTGCACACTGGAGGAACTGGCTCCAGGACAGTTTCTCAGACCAACAGAAAACGTGCCTGTCGGCGTTTCCCCATTCCTGCCGGCTGCTCCCAATGTGCTGGTATTGATGATGCTTGTATGCAACAGATGGATTTTTTTTTCTTTTTTTTGCACTTGAAAATAAAAATCAGACTCATTCCAATGGCATTGGATGGAAAACGCTCTATAAAACAAGTTTAACCTTTTTCCTTTACCAGTAGTGCCTGCTATTAAGACTGTTCCCAAGATTAGCATCTGAGAAGGGACAGAGTCCACCCCAAAGTAAGCAGTCTGCTTTTCCCCCTGTCCAGACAGCTTTGTGCACTACCAGCACCGAGCACACGGTAGTGCAGCAACTTGATCATCTGCAGCAGTAAGTTGTTGGGCTTTTTTTTTGCTTTTTTTTTTTTAAATTTACAAGTTTTAGTCATAAGCTGAATGGTTCCTAAACACTCCCATGGGAGTTAGTGTGTGGTGGGGGGTGTGTTTCTTTGCTACTTTCTTTTCTTGTATTGCAATTTGGAAGTCAAGGTCAGAAATAGACCTTCAGCAAGTTAATAGATTATAAAAATGAAATCTGAGATGCCCCAGTATCTTAATGGAATCAGCTTCTATGATGCACTAAAATAATACAGAACCATTTGACTAAAGCTTTTCTAATAAAGGGGAGCGGGCAGAAAAAAGGGCAAGAATCCATTTCAATCAAGTTCAAATGTAAGTGGCTCATTTACCTGTAATCCAGCTGAGTGGTAATTACACTGTTCTAAAGCATCTTGTCAGGTTCAGACAATACTGGGTTTTACTGCTTACAATGAAAATCTTTAAACTGTGTGTCTTACATAATTAACAAGAAATTATTTCCCATCAAAATTTACCCGATATGAACAGTAATGGTTGTGTTATAATAAAATAATAGCGGCAGTTAGGGAGAGCGTAGCCTGCTCTCTTTACATTTCTGGAAATGCTGCAGGAGCGGTGCGGTTTTTGTGGGGAAATGCAGCTTTTTCTTGCTCTACCCCAAAGCAATAGCGTAACAATTTCCCTTCCTACCGAACAGCTGTAATGCCGCGCTCTGATCATAAACCAAGTGGCAGCTTCAGGTGAATTTTCTTATCCTTTGCTTTCAAGCCATTCCATTCAAAGTCTTATTGGAACATTCCTTATGCAAAAAATGCACGACAAGCATTTTAAAGACAATTTAAGACTGCGCTAAAACCAAGGGATTCTTACCAGACTGAAATAACCAGCGTTTTACAGCCTTTATCTCCATAATGGCTCACTTCATCTGATCTGTTTCCTCCTCTGTTTGCTGCGATATTCTAACTTTCATTAACCTTGACTAAACAATTTGGTCTCTAGATGATCTTTTTAGGCAATCTTTTTTTTTTTTTTTTGTACCCTCTTCAAGTGCATTTTCACTTAAAATCATCTGTTTATCTGCAATTTCTTTTTTTTTTTGAATAGGGTTTTTTTCTTAGACCTCTGTATGACTTAACTGCCATATAGAATAATTGCAAGCAATGTTTGTCATGAGAAGATTTATCTGCTTCATCATCTGCTTTTAGTCCCGTGTATCAGAAGGCAAACTGATGTGATTATACCAGGTGCAGCAATTCCCCGTGGGGATACATTCTGTCTGCAAAGCCCCTGGGGCTCTTCGGAGGGCAGCAGGGCCCCTTGTCTGTAAAGAAACCGGATCATTTGCCATCCTGAGAGGCTTAAGTTTTAAAATATTGAACTGTTTGGATGGGGGGAAAAATATTAGAAATAAATTAGTCTTTTATTGGCAATTAGCTTGAAGAAAAAAAAAAAAACAAAAACACACCAACAATCCAAGTACTCCTAAATCCCAAGTAAATTTGGATCTGAAACAAAATGTTATGGTTCATAGCAAATATAAATGAAAATATTTGGGATCTGGAGGGCCCGAAGAGAACCTGTCTTGGGATTTTCTGAAAGTGAGAGCTTGCTGAAAGGAAAAGTACTTTGTGTCCTCTGCAAAACAGCCACGAGAGGGCTCAGGATGCCCGGAGTGAGCCCGTCGCTGCTCAGAGAGCAAATCGTGAACATGACTCAGTCACCAAAATACTGGGGAAAAATCCATTTCTTTTTAAACAGACATGGAAATGTTATTTCATAGTCTTTCTGTTATGTGCAAGAATAGGAAATGCATCCTGGGAAGCGCAGAGATCTCCGAAATACATGGATTTGAATAGAAATATAGCCAATATGCAAATGTTCTTTCCATGTGAGATTATAGAGAGAGTCGAAGGAGGAAGGCTTTGCTTTATTCTCCGTATCCAGAAGCCTTTCTGTTGCACAAACCGAAGCAATATAGATCCTTTGGTTGAAGTTTTGATGCAAATACAGGAAACTTTCCACCGTGAATAGACCTATATAGTATTTCACCCATCTTCTGTTGGTGGTGATGGTACTCATGTGTATCCTACAAGCCATGGTGGCTTTGCTGTCCAAAAGCGTAGAACTGTCACCTCCCAGAAAAGGAAGGTGTCATTCGGAGATGCAGGTGAAAAGAATTTAGTCCTGGACCCAAGTCTAGTTTATGATCCAGTATCTGACTTCTTGGGGCTAAAAGCAAGTTGCTGAAACTCTCCTCTCTT